GTGGCACGTAACGCTCAAGGAAGGGAGGGTCAAAGATGAGGGTGGAGATCGGCGTGGGCCCCAGCATGCCAAAGAGTTAAGGTGACTTCCTTTAACAGTGAATTATGGGAAGGCACCGAGGAATCAAGAGACAGGAGAGCATCATGAGCAGGTTTCTATGAGGACGAAGGAAGGCAGTGATGTGGAGTAGGGCATGGAGGACTGAGGCAGCAGGGCCACCCAGGAAGCTGTTGCAATCATGCAGGTGAGACATTTAGGGCAGGGGCTGAGCTAAGGCAGGGCAGGAAGGGGGAAGAGCAGAGTGTACAAAGGAGAATTAGCCAACATGTGGCAGGGAGTGAGAACTGGGAGGGAAGGCAAAGGGCGGAACCAAGACCGATTTCCAGGTTTCCGGCTTGGACCTGAGACAGCCTCCAGGAAGCTTTCCCAACTCTCCCAGCCTGAGACAGGAGCTCCTTCCTCTAATTTCCCACAGGTTGCATGGTCAGGTCTGTCCACTTGTGTTGCCCTCATCCTTGACCTTGCCCTCGTTTTTTGTACCCACTGGATTGTGCGTTCTCCAAGAGCAGAGGTCATTGGCAGTCCAGTTTCCATGCAACAGATAGGAGCTGGTCTGGTGCATCAGACAAAGCAAGCACCCCTTCTGTTCCAGGCTCAGTGCTAAGCTCTGGGGGTGTTGCTGTTGTCAGGTGACCTTGAATCCAATCAGACCCATAGTGACCCTGTGCACCCCAGATGGAAGCACTGCGTGGTCCTGCGCCATCCTCACAGTTGTTCCGTGCCTGTTACCACCTGTGTCTCGTGGATGCACCATGGTCAATCATACATAATCAATCCCTGCCCTCCTGAGATGCACCCTCATGGGTGGGGAGGAGGAGACCTGGCAGCCAGCTGGGAGGGAAGGGAGCTGAGTTGGTAGGTCAGCCTCTTCCTGCCCCCAAGCTGGCTGTGAGTGCCATGGGATGAGAGATTGTTAGTCCGTTCTTCCCACTGCTCACTGCCCAAGGTCTGAAAGAGTAATCAATAAATCATCTCTGGAAATGAATAGATGAGCATCTGCAGAGGGCTACCCGTGCTGTGCAGGGAAAGAAGAGGGTGTGAGGAGAGAAAAGAAGGGGGAATCGAAGATGGGGAAAGTGTCTTGCAGGAGGGGAGGTCTGTAATGTGAGACACTTGGCCTCTGAGCTGGGAGTGGAGAAGGAGGTAGAGCTTAGGCTGGAGGACCAAAGGTGGCTGTGGACAAACGAAGGAAGTCCCACCTGTCCCGGAGGCAGCAGGTCCCAGGCCAAGTGTGGGCTCTGGCCTCCCTCCAAGTGGCGCTTCCCCCCTGGAGCACGTCAGTCAGTCAGTGAACTTACAGAGACACGTGATGGGGCTCCTTTGGTAAAGACATTGTCATAAGAGAGGGTTCTAATTTGCTATCAGAAATGGAAAAGCCTGGGAGAAGACAGGGCGGTTGAACCCAGGTGATGGGGAGAGGGCAGTCAAGAAGGGGGAGAGCACATGAGCCTGGCAGCCTTCAGTCATGATGTAACTGGAGGTGTCTTTGAAGCTTGCGTTTCCTCGCTTCCCGTTGGGCAGGGAAAAAAGAGAGAGAGAAAACTTATAAAATAGAACTATATTAACCTCGATAATAGGATATTACATGCATGACTTGCTCCAAGACAACATTTTCTTTGTCTCTCTGCAATCCTGGGCCCGGATCTCAGATTTGGTCAGCACTTGACCAAGAGGCCCAGGTTCAGGCATCTTTGAGGCTGGATAATGGGGCTCAAGGAATTCTCTGCAGGGAGATAGGGAGCTTAGTCCCTTTGCTCGCAGCTGGTGGGGAAGAGGTCTACCCTGGGCTTGGGGAGAAAGCCCAAAAGACCCAGACCAGGAAAAAGGATGTCCAAGAGACAGAAGCCACCCACCAGCCCCTCTTACCTCTCACCCCTCCCGCTCTCCGTAGCCCGTGGTTCTTTGGTCAGCAAAACCCCTATGCCTTGAACGCAAATGCTCCCCAAAGCTGGACTTCCCTTTAAGGTCACCACTGAGGTGACCTAAAGGTCACCTTGAGGTGTTCCATCCAGTGCAGGTAGCTCATTTCTCCATCCCTTATTCGGTTCACATTTGAGGGATTGTGCCTCACCGCCTCCGGGGACACTTCATCTCTTTTGAGTTGATGCCATCCAAACTCTGTCGCGCCCTACCCTCCCTCACCCATTAGCATCGTCATCTCTAAGCCATGTCTCACTATCATCTTGCCTCTCAGTGCCCTGGTCGTCTCAGTTCTTTTCAGCCCATCACCCTATGGCCACAGTGGATCTGGTTGTTCAGCACCTCTGGATGTCACCTACCCAAGTCTTGCTCAGGGACCTCTGTCCTTCAGTGCTCTCACTCTGGTCCTCCCTCCACTCCCATTCCCCATGCTGCCCTCGATCTCTCTACTGCCCTCGGGCTATGCTTGCTTCCTTCTGTCCCTAACAATTGAGCCTTTCTTTTCCACCCCTGGAGTTGAAAATGCAATCGGATGCTAACCCAAAGGGTGAAGGTTCAAGTCCACCCAGAGACACCTTAGAAGAAAAGCCTGGTGACCTATTTACACTCAGGTGGTCATGCCAAAGCCTGCCACTGCAGACTTCATTAAAAATTTTGGCACATGCTTCATTGTAGATATTTTCTTTTTTGGCATTCATTGTATTTTTGAAAGTAAATATTGCACTTACTTATGATGCTTCTTCATTGCTGAATTTTGGGGGGGGGGTTGGTGGCCCATTGTGTACTCAAGGGGACACCCTTACTCTCCTGACCCACCCACCCTGCCACCTGTGCCATTTGCCTTGGTGCTTCCACAACAGGCATGACCCTGTGCCGTACATTCCCACTTCCTAGTCAGCAAGCGGACCTGGAGAACCTCTCGTTCCTTGAGAACAGAGACCACACCCACCTCCGGCCCAGGGACTCCTTGTACTAGTCTTGTTTGTGTCCCCGAAGGAAGGAGCACTGGAGGGGCTGGGCACGTGTGCAAGGCCGGGCTTGCACTATGAACAGCTTCTGGACAACACACAGTTTGCCAGGTTGCCGCCTGCTCCTGTGACCCCTGTGTGTCTGTCCCCGCTGCCAGTGGCTCAGTTTTCATAAGCAGCTCACCAGGACTTTCTTCCAAGGCACTTCTGCATGTCCTTGGACCTTCAGCTTTTCAGTTAGCCGAGCACACGACTGGCGGCACCGTCCAAGGACTCCCTGAGTCCTCACTAAAAACCCTTAAATCCGGGCCCCACAGGAAGGATCCTCGGCAGCACGATCCAGCTCTGGCTTCTGATGATGGGTGACTGGAAGCACAGCTCTAAATGCCTGAATCCCCCGAGGCACAAATCCTCACACCTGGAGAGAACCTGCTTGGGGACACCCTGGGAGCAGGAGGGTCCTGCTCCTGCGTCCCAGGTCACCTTATGGGGCCATCGCTTCCTTTCCTTCTGATGCCCTGAAACTGGGGCCTGGAGCAGAGACAGCTCCGCAAGACTGGGTGCTGCTGGCAATATGTGGTCTCCGCGTATCCCCTCCCCACTCTTCCCAGAGCGGGAGGGAAGCTCGCTTTGTGGAGGGTTCAGGTGTGCTTTCTGAGGACAAGGCGGTGTATGAGATGAGAAGGTGGAGAACTGACCTCCACTTGAGATTCCTCAGACCTGGCGCCTGTTGATTTGGTCACACAGCTCTCCTCCTCCCTGGCCTCCCTACACTGCAGGACCCAAGAGGTTTGATCTAGATGACACGCCCCCACAATCCCAGTCATAGAATGCCTTACCTGCTAGGTCGTAAACAGAGCTAGAAGTCCTGGTAATATGAATGCCACAAGCAAGAGCCCATATGAGGCAGGGCCTGGGGATCAAACATCAACGTAGATCACCTGGAAGCCCAACAGATAGGAGCTTCTGCCTCTGCAGAATCATCCCTGTTAGCGTCGCCATTTCTGTGATCTGGCTCCCAACATGCCATGAAAAGCAGCATCCCTTTTGGACCAAGAACTCTGGGAAGATATCGCCCCAGTCACAGGACTCTCACAGCCCTCACCCCACCGTCTGCCACTTCATTTTTTAGCCCCATCTTTCCTGCTAGACGCCCCCTCCTTGGGAACATAGCTCCTCCTCCTCCTCCTCCTCCTCCTCCCCCTCCCCTGCCTTGTCTTCCCATCTTCTGCTCTGTGTCCTTCCTTCCATCATCCTCTCTTCCTCTATCATATCACTCAGCACAGGCCTGATGGGGGCCATCACTTGCTGGCTGACCCAAAGGAGACTCCAGGGACTTGGCCAAGCAGGCTCCTCTCCTGAAGGATCCTTGTTGACATCTATGAGAGGCCAGAGGTCCAGGCTTACCAAACCCAGGCCCCCGCAGCTCTCTCTCGGAACCCACTCCGTGTCTGACTCACAACGGTTGAACTAAATGAACTTGCAAAGCACACTTAGGGGGTCATTTGTTGTGTCGCAGCTTAAACCGAATTATAAAGTATCTTCATGGAAGTACTTCCTCATCAGAAGGCGGTGGGTCTGATTCTCGCTTAATCTCCGGTTGCGGGAAAGGCAGGCAGCAAAGATCAGCCGCCCTCTCTGCTTCCCCTGCCTTTCGCTCAGGAATAAGCTGTGTGCATTTACGATGTAGCCAGTGGTGATGGTAACCTAGAGGGAGAGTCAAGTTCAGCAAAGAGGTCTCCAAACATTAGACGTGTCACCTGCTCTGACAGGTAACTCACCTTCCCTGAGTGAAAACAGCCAAGCATCTAGACTACTTCTGTAAACACGGAAGACCAGATACTCAGTACCTGGGAGGCCCACCCGTCCTATTGCATTTAAGCGGGACATGGCAGGGCTCCTGGGGGTGAATCTACATAATGGGATTGAACGCTCCTCCCGTGCCACTCTGGAGTGGGTTCATGGCAGAGGTGCCGCAGAGCGGGTAATGTCGACCTCCTGCTCCAAGAGCGATATCCAGTCACCTTTTGTCTCTGTTTTCTTGTCTTTCAGAGATCGAGCAGGGCAGTTGTGGTGACCCTGGTATCCCTGCCTATGGCCGGAGAGAAGGCTCTCGGTTCCACCATGGTGACACACTCAAGTTTGAGTGCCAGCCTGCCTTTGAGCTGGTGGGGCAGAAGGCAATCACGTGCCAAAAGAATAACCAGTGGTCTGCTAAGAAGCCAGGCTGTGTGTGTAAGTGGGCGAGGAGGCGGCCGCTCTGAGGGCCCCACAGAGAGTCAGGGGACCCCACTTCCCAGCAAGTCCGGGGGCCCCACCCTTGAGACCTTACAGCTTCACTTTGGTTGGGCTCTTTGATTCCGTGGGGCCGGTCTGGTTGAGTAGCGGACACCGCAGCACTGACTGACTGGTCAAGGCTTTCATGGAGCTTCTTCAATGTCATCTTGCCCTCCTTCCGTGATCCTTGAGAGCGAGGTGGAGGCCACTGGGGAATGTGGTCTACCAAGCTGAGACACAGGGACTTTCTGCTCCTCTTTGACACTGCGGGTGGTAGCGTCCTGCGAGCCAAGTGGAAAAGACCACACGTGTATACGGTTGTAGACTGCGTATCAGCATCGGAGTACTGTGGGAAATCCTGGCCTTGACAGAATATAATGAAATTTCCAAAATCACTTCCTATTGGGTGGGGCTTCGAGAGCAATGAGGGAATCAAGCCATCTTTGCATTGTGAATCTTTGGGGGAAGGGGTTAGAGTGAGCACTCTGTTATAGGGAGATAACTGATAACCTCTTGGATGCCATGGCCATCCTTTTCTGTACAAATCATATCTTAAGTCTTGAGTCACAGTGGGATTGGCAAGGGCGAGGGGATTGTGTTTAGCCAAGGGAAGACCATGCACGGTCACTGTTGGGGAATCAGAGGTTCCATCTTCTCAGAGATGTTACATCTTCCACTCCCAGCCCTCACCACCCTACTTCTTCATCTCATGCATTCCACTATCCTCAGGGTCAGCCTCAGCCTCTGATCCTCCACCCGCATAGATGGGCTTCTTTGGGCCTCTGAGTTCCACACATTAGAGGACTGTGGCCCCTCAAGACTGGGGAAGTGAGTACCCTAAAAAACCAATCATGGGCCATCAATGATATCTAACAGTTGGGTGTGTGAGTTGGGGAATTGGATCATACCACAGTGATAATATTTTTCAAACCATAAGAACTGACTTTGTTTGGTCTAACTAAGCATTTTTGACGACTTGAGTTTATTAGTGGAAAAATCCTCACAGAGGTTTAAAGATCAAATACACGTTGAGCAAATCACCCTTTCTGAAAAGACTAACATTACATGTGCTCCGAATGTGGTTAGACTACGGAGCCCTGGTGTCAGCTTTGGAATCCTCTGGGAACTTGGGGACCTGGAGGGACAGGGAACAGTCACAGAGACCACTCGGGACTTTCAGCAACAAAGGGGCTGAGAGTTGCAGAGGCCAAGTTCAGGCAGGCGTGGGAGATAGGAGTCTGGCTAGGCAGGGGTCTGGCTAGGGTGGAGGCAGGGCTTCAGAAAGTAAAGACACAGACAGAGGACATCCGCAGTAGGACGGAGCTTCTCTGAACTGCATCCTCACAGGACAAGACAGGAGAACCTGGAGCGGTGCCGGGCAGAGAACTGGGAACAACGATGTGGGAAGCAGAGCCAGTCAGTCAGTGTTTGCCTTATTAGCTGCCATCATGAGCAACACGACCAGGGAAAGTCCTGGAGCATTCAAATCGTATGTTCAGGTTGTTGTGACCCATGGAGTTGTCGCTGAGAATTCGGGAGTAGATTGCCAGGGTTCTCTTTCTAGTCTGTCTCAGTCTGAAAGCTCTACTAAAACCTGTTTAAAATACACTGACAGACAGATGGTGGCTGGGTATGAGGTGCACTGGCCAGGAATCGAACTTGGGTCTCCCACATGAAAAGCTAGAATTCTTTCCCATTAAACCATTCCATCCAGGAACAATTTCAGGCCCCCACCAACCAAGAGAGAGAGGTAGCCATGCTTTGGAAATATTAGGGACAGGGGGTACGATTTGAATGCTCCAGGACTTTCCCTGACACCTTGATTCTAAGGAATGGTTTAGAAAATCATTTGAGGATCTTCACTCAGGTAGAAGACTTGGGAGTGCTGCTCTGCAGGCTCCCCGTTTCCAAGGCTGGGGGCCCCAGAGAGCCGGGCACCCACAGCAAGCCGCCGTGTGGGAAAGGGGGCAGAACAGCCCTGGCAACTGTGGCTCCATGCACTCTGTGCTTTCAAACAAGGAAGCGTGGGTTTGAGGGTGTGGACTGAGAGGCAGGCCCTCTGGGGGATCTTCATGGCATTTCTTCTTCCTGGCGATTATGGGCTGTCGAGGGATGACATCTTCAAGGCACCGCAATCTCTCAGATGTGCCTGGGGCCTCAGGAATGCTGGTTTCAAGGGAAGAGGGCCATGTGAGAGGGGACCTGTGCACCCTATCAGTGTTGATTTGCATGTCATGAAAGTCACCATCTGTCTGCGCTCTACTGTGTGTCTGGCCCCTAAACTGATGCTTCCTTAAGTCCTGGATTTGTGTTCAGGGACATCACAGTCTAACAGGTGGGAAAAGGGAGAGATGATGCTAACAGAGGCCTCTTGGCCTGAAAGAACTTTGGATTTGAATTCTGGAGCCTATATTCAACTCTCTCCTGTCTCTGGGCTTCATCTTCTTGATCTGCCCCATAGGGCACCCCTCCATGCTGGCTTCAGAACGTTGGTCACTTCTATTGCCATATTCAGAAAGGAAAAACGTAACGATGACATGAACAAACAAAAAATTTAAGAACAAAAGTGAACTGCTGTGGAGTCAGCTTCGAGTCGCGGTGGCCCTTGGGTGCCCAAACAGAACAGTGCGCCGCCACGTTGTCTGAGGCTGATCACCCGGGCTGTTCTTCCCAGGCTCGTCTGGGTGGATTTGAACCCCCAACCTCTCAGGCTTGCAGCTGAGCGAATGAGCCCTTCACATGCCTAGCGCCTCCATAGCAGGAATCATGCCCACATTGTCCACCACAAATGCTTGGAGGCCACCTCCTGGCGCCGGTCCTTCTGGAGCAGGACCTACTTGGATTTAGGATGTTCTGCCCCTGCCTCTCCGTCAAGTCTCATAGATCAGCAGAAAGGGTTCAACATCTGGAAACATCTGTAAAGACCTGAAACAGGGAAGTTGGTCTCTGTGCTTTATGAAGTGGTCACAAAGGTACATTCAAAAGGCCCTCTAGCAAAAGGCGGCCTCGGTATCCCTTTGCCTGGTGATGTGGTTGTTGTTTTTGTTACTAGATGCTGTCAGGTGCCCCCCCCCCCAGTCATGGTGACCTTAGGTACGACAGAACGGCACATTTCCCAGACGGGGGTCTTCCTCACACTCATTGCTACGTTTAAGCCCCTCGTTGCAACCATTGCGTTCACCCACACCACACGTTAGTCACAATCAAAATTCATACACTATTTAGCAGACAAGAATGCTCTTTGCTTCTTAGGATGTAAAAGGGACTTGGAAAAATCCTTTTGATAGCCCAATTCTCTTTCAACAATTATCCAGAGATGCTCCCCGCAGAGGATTCTTCTTTTCTGACGTGTTTTGTTCTAAGCAGCTTCCTGATCAGGAGGCTGCACAAATGCACGCTCTCTTCCCAGTCGCACAACATCTCCGGGAGCCAGCAGGGCCCTCGGGGTTCCTCTCACTGGCTTGGCGCTCCCTCACAGGGGTCCGTGCTCAGCAGATGATCTGATTCCATTTGGGTTTTCAAGAAGGGGGTGTGTCTCACCATGGAAAGCTTCGTCAAAGGGAAGGTGGGACCAGTTTCTTTCCTCCTGGTCTTCCCTAGTCCTGGGTTCATCCGCATCACCAGGGACCACTGCTCCAAATTAGTTTTAAGTCTCACCCCGTCCCGTCCATTCAACAGCCTTATTGACTGGCTACTGGACACCATGCATTGGATTCAGGGCAATTCAGACTCTGCGTGTGACGGGACTCACCCTGGTTGTCCTGGGGAGGCGTGTTGGGCCAGATTACATGGACTCTTCACCGTTCCAGGACTTCTGTCTATGGTGCTCGCTTCCTTACAAAGGAATAGGGAACCTTTCTCTGGCAACCCTGTCCAGTTTCCCTTCCCAAGAGAGACACTGGGAAGAAAGATACAAATAGCTCTGACGAAGATTTGCACAATACTTGATGCCTTGTTGACAGGCGAGCAGAACGCTTCACACTTCGCAAGGAAGCCAGGAAACCAATTATCAGTCCATTAGCAGCCACTTTCCAAAGAAGTTTCAAAACAACCTTCACCAGAAATATGGCAAGACTGCACAAATAGGTTCTCTTCTTCCCCGTTT